GCTGTTCTTGGTACTTTCATGCCAAATCCACGCCTTTCTTTCTCCACTCTGTCAAGTTGTCAAGACCAGAGGATTAGCAACTATCCTAACTGCTGCTTCTTAAAGATTTAGATTAATAAATCATGCAATGTGTAGAATAAAAATTATGTAAGAAATGCAAGGACCATATTTAATGGAGGCGTAGAAGTAACAACTGAAACAAGTCAATCATAGGCGTAAGACAAATTTAAGGAAAGAGAAAAGCATATATATTTTTCTTTCTTAACCTCACAGAAAACATCTGTTGAATCATCAAATGGGGTCCTGAATTGGAATAAAAACACAACTTTCCAGCACTCCAATGAGCTTATGAGCCAACTGCATAAGAGACTATGACTCAACCTCTCACTCAATTTATATCAGATACTTGACACCAACTCCTATCCAAAACTTTAAAATAATGAGTCTATAAATCTTCTTTTTTATACTGATCTACATTTTATTTGTAATTAATGTGCGACTTAAATTCACACTTATATTCTTAACAAAAATATCTAAGAGACAAACTGCATGAGAAGAAATTCCTCCTTATCTATAGGTTCAGCTTGACATGACTAATCAATATGCTGACTGCTAGGAGAAAACAAACATGGATTCTTAACAATAGGAAACCAGCATTTTATGAATAGAAACACAGAAGGACATTACAACAGAAGAGCTAGTCTATAATTAGATAAATGGAACAAAATCATCAGAGACTTGGCACTTACGTTGGTGCAAGTTTACCAAGGCTGTCCAACTCTTCCCCTGTGTTTTCATCTCGTACCCTCCCAGAAATGTCAACGATGTAAGACCTATTGTCATCGCGGGGGAGTCCTCTCCGACAAAGCAATTCTAAATCTTTATGGTGAAGTTCTCTACCATTTACAAAAACACCAGTATTTCCACCAGCACATTTTTCTGGCATGGGATGCTGGAACTCTTCTATGAATGGCTGCAAGAGAAAATAACATATTCATTTATATTGATCAGAGTACAAGTATACGAGAAATGGAGTGTACCAGAATAGTGTAACTTACCAGAATTATTCCAAGACATGGTCCCCCCATGACACCCCAAAATCCAGCCTGAGAATCATACCTGCGGAAGAAAAAGTGCAAGCAGATCAATCACTACAATACATAAGCAATCAGCATAAACATTTACACTATCACTCTAAGCTGAGATAACTCTTCCCAAAATGATATGCAAAAAGGCATGTGAAACTATCAAAATATAATGTTACAGATTATAAGAACTTAACCGAGTCTATATGTATGCAAAGAACACTTTTCAAAAGCTTAACTGATTTTGATCCCTGTCTTTACAGTTTGTCTAAAGATTTAATTTTGATCCTTTATACATTTCTCTTCATTTGAGTTTCTGATACATGACATAATGTCAGCCTAACAAAGTTGTGAATGTAAAGCATACTAACCAGTAATTTCCTGGCTGGATTGGTCCAGCAAACTTTTCAGCCTTTTTAATCACTCGATCTGGTATTGGCTGTCCATTTATAGTAACATTACTTTTCCCATTATCTTTCTTAATAATGTTTGCTAAAAATGAATCACTCCTTTTGTTAGACCTAGGATGATCATGTTCTCTGCTTACATCACCAGAATCCTGGGAGACCCCAGTGTTAGAATAATCAATAACATCCATCTCAGTTGCAAGCACTACTTCTTTCAAAGAATTTTGCCTTGAGGCATTCTTTTCTACTTTTTCCAGCTCTTGATCTGAGCGACTACTTTGGTTGCCTTTCCCTAATCGATTAACCACAAGGTCGTCAAATGAACTACCAGGTGAAGGAGATGGAGAGGCTTTAGATGGCTGATGAATGAACCCACCTGGGGCAGTCATAATTTCTGGAATATTTTCATCATCAGAAATACTGGGAGATGAAGAATGGAAACTTTGCCTCTCTCGCGACTTTAAGGTTGAGTCTTCAGCCAGCACAGAAGATTCTCTATCTACTGAGTGAAAATCATAACCAGAATAATCATCAGATGAGAAGTTCACAGCACTCGTGTTCACATCACCACGGGAATGGAATGCACGACTATTCACAACCTCACCAGTGGCATCATCAACCCTTGTGGGTCTGGTAGCTTCCTCCATCTCAGAATGAGGAGAAATCACTAGCTTCTTATTGACGACAGCAAGTTTCATTTCAGAAGAACAAGCTCCGCATCTAATTTTCTTCTGCTTAAGATTTTTAACCATGACCAGTGTCTTTTTAGGCAGTTGCAGTAACTCGAAGCAACTATGACAAGTGATGAAAGGAGAAGCACCAGCTATAGGAAGGCATTGCCGAGTACTATTCAAAGGCACTACTTTTCGAGTATGGCTTCCAACAAACCTACCCATCTCAGAATTGTAATCTCTAGGCCATCTTGTACGAGGTTGTCTTTCATGTAAACCAGTGGGAGGAATGGCAGCTCTAGAATTCTGAACATAAGGACCAACTGCTCCTGGGATCTCATGACCGTACAACATAGGATCATTTGAGGCAGGGGTGTGAGGGAATCTGCTGTTAACAAATTCAGCAGGTGGCACAGGCACTGATTCTCTTCTTTTGTTGTTATAGCAACGCAAACAAGAGCAAGAAGGTGGGTGAAGCATGGCACTACGAGTATATGGATCATATGAATCTGGACCAGTATCAGCATAGCGTCCAGGAAAGTAGGGATGAATTGGATTTTGTGGGAACTTGTGGGGTAAAGGATGTGAATCTCTCATCATTGGGGATACAAAAGGATCCCCATAACCAGGAGCATAATTTGGATTATGCATGGAAGGGTGAAAGTTGCGCTTAGCCATTTCAGGACCTGCTGCATAAGGATATGGGTCATGATGATAATTGAAATAAGGGGGACCTGGCAAATGTTTATTAGGGCCAAAGAATGGTCTTGAGGTTCTGCTCATAGCTGATGATGATCCATATCCTTCAGGAAACCAAGTTTCAGGGCCACTAAAAGGATCTGGAGGAACCATTCTTCCATCAGGAAGAACTTTTTCTTTGGGGTTACCAACCACCTCAGAAGACTTGTTCAATTGGCTGGTTAACTCATCCAGCTTCCTTAGAATATCGGCTCTATCTTGCTCAAGATGCTGAACTTTATTCACACCATCCATGTCCTTGAAATTCCTCCACTGTTCTCCATAATTGTAAGAAAAACTGGAATAGCTATTTGAAGATCCTTCATCAGGATAACCATGAGTGGGAAATCTGACACCCTCCATATCAGCTTGAGACTTTCTCCGAAACCCCTGCATCTCACCTCTCTCCCCATAAGGCCAATTAGACACTCTCACATAGAATTGGTCCCCTACCATGTGAGACTTCTGCTCCTGCTGGTCTCTTCCAATTGATTTACCCCTTTTGTCCTTACTCACAAAATCATTCTCCAAAACTCCTTTCTCATCCCCATCCATGGAACCATCCAAAAACCTCCCATGTCCTTTATTTGGTTTTCCCAAATCCCTTCTTTGACCCTCCATTGAAAAACCATCATTGGACCCAATATCAACATCTGAATTATCACTCAAATCAATTACCCCTTTACCCAAGAAACTTTCTGATCTACCTTGATCTCCTCCACCTTGTCCCTCATCTGAGGTTTCCCACAACCTAACACCTTCGGAACTTTTAAGCTTTCCTACAAAGGAAAAACAAAACGGAAAACACAATAAGAAATCAGAATATCCAACCCCTTTTTGAGCCTTTGACCAAAAAAAAAAAGAATCCTAATTTTTAATACAAACAAAAAGCTCCAAAGCACGTTAAATCAAACAACCAAACCATATGCTAAATTTACGAAAGGGTACCTCGAAGAACACTACCACAACCACCACATTGATAAACAGTGTAATTGGCAAGCTCGGGAAGAACCTTTTGACACTTGGGGCACTTCACCAAACGCAACTTGGCCGAGTCCTCCATTGCTGAAGCTGAGAGATAATACACAAACACACACAGGGCCACTAACCAAGCACCATAACCAAACAAGGAAGAAGCAGCAGCAGAATCCTTGGTTATTTATTAAGATAGAACTTTCACGTAGAGGTCCAAAAGGAAGTGTTTGGCTTCTCGGAAACAACAAGAGCGTCAGAGAGAGGAGTGTTGTGTTTTCTGCTTTTTCTTTTGGTGCTGATTTTCCTTTTGGGTTTTCTTGATTTTTTTCTCAAAATCCAAACAGCAAGAGACCAAAAATCGAAAAAGGAGTAATGAAGAGAAGCACAGTGGGGACAAATTTCCTCTCGGAATCTTAGAACTTTGCAAAATAGATCACTTTGCAAAATAGATCCTTTCATTCCATTCCAGTTACTGAAAATAAAAATCGCTGCTTTATATTATTATGGGTAGAGTTTTAGACAGAGAACGAAAAACAGTAACGTGAGATAGTTGTACGGAGTGGAGTTAGTTGGGCCGCAAGGAGAAAAAACAAAACCAAATAATTGTGTCTACAACCAAACAAAACATGCCAGTGTTTTTTTCTTTTTACTTATAAGATTAATCAATTTTAGTTGACATTAAATTTAAAATGAAATTAACTTAGGTATAAATATACCTATTATAAAAAAATTAAATCTGGACATGAAATTGAAACGTGTTGTCATTATAATGAAAACGTTTCTTAAATATCCATTAGTTTTTAAAATTTTAATTCATTAAAAATTATCCTAATAAAATAAGCTATTACTATTTCATAAGTAGAATGTTAAAACTGTGACATAAACATACGCTGAGATCACGTCAACGCAAAGAATTAGATTTGAAGTTAATTAATTAATGGATTCGATTGGAACTTCCCCACGATGTATGCAGCGGGTCTGGCCAGTTTTTTATTTATTTATCTATTATGTAAAAAAAATTATTTATTATATATTAAGTATTTATTTAAAAATTATTTGTAAATATTTTAAAATTTGTAGATATTTAGATATCCAGGTATATTTTAAATATCTAAGAGACAAACTGCATGAGAAGAAATTCCTCCTTATCTATAGGTTCAGCTTGACATGACTAATCAATATGCTGACTGCTAGGAGAAAACAAACATGGATTCTTAACAATAGGAAACCAGCATTTTATGAATAGAAACACAGAAGGACATTACAACAGAAGAGCTAGTCTATAATTAGATAAATGGAACAAAATCATCAGAGACTTGGCACTTACGTTGGTGCAAGTTTACCAAGGCTGTCCAACTCTTCCCCTGTGTTTTCATCTCGTACCCTCCCAGAAATGTCAACGATGTAAGACCTATTGTCATCGCGGGGGAGTCCTCTCCGACAAAGCAATTCTAAATCTTTATGGTGAAGTTCTCTACCATTTACAAAAACACCAGTATTTCCACCAGCACATTTTTCTGGCATGGGATGCTGGAACTCTTCTATGAATGGCTGCAAGAGAAAATAACATATTCATTTATATTGATCAGAGTACAAGTATACGAGAAATGGAGTGTACCAGAATAGTGTAACTTACCAGAATTATTCCAAGACATGGTCCCCCCATGACACCCCAAAATCCAGCCTGAGAATCATACCTGCGGAAGAAAAAGTGCAAGCAGATCAATCACTACAATACATAAGCAATCGGCATAAACATTTACACTATCCTCTAAGCTGAGATAACTCTTCCCAAAATGATATGCAAAAAGGCATGTGAAACTAATCAAAATATAATTTACAGATTATAAGAACTTAACCGAGTCTATATGTATGCAAAGAACACTTTTCAAAAGCTTAACTGATTTTGATCCCTGTCTTTACAGTTTGTCTAAAGATTTAATTTTGATCCTTTATACATTTCTCTTCATTTGAGTTTCTGATACATGACATAATGTCAGCCTAACAAAGTTGTGAATGTAAAGCATACTAACCAGTAATTTCCTGGCTGGATTGGTCCAGCAAACTTTTCAGCCTTTTTAATCACTCGATCTGGTATTGGCTGTCCATTTATAGTAACATTACTTTTCCCATTATCTTTCTTAATAATGTTTGCTAAAAATGAATCACTCCTTTTGTTAGACCTAGGATGATCATGTTCTCTGCTTACATCACCAGAATCCTGGGAGACCCCAGTGTTAGAATAATCAATAACATCCATCTCAGTTGCAAGCACTACTTCTTTCAAAGAATTTTGCCTTGAGGGCATCTTTTCTACTTTTTTCCAGCTCTTGATCTGCGACTACTTTGTTGCCTTTCCCTAATCGATTAACCACAAGGTCGTCAAATGAACTACCAGGTGGAAGGAGATGGAGAGGCTTTAGATGGCTGATGAATGAACCCAACCTGGCAGTCCATAATTTCTGGAATATTTTCATCATCAGAAATACTGGGAGATGAAGAATGGAAACTTTGCCTCTCTCGCGACTTTAAGGTTGAGTCTTCAGCCAGCACAGAAGATTCTCTATCTACTGAGTGAAAATCATAACCAGAATAATCATCAGATGAGAAGTTCACAGCACTCGTGTTCACATCACCACGGGAATGGAATGCACGACTATTCACAACCTCACCAGTGGCATCATCAACCCTTGTGGGTCTGGTAGCTTCCTCCATCTCAGAATGAGGAGAAATCACTAGCTTCTTATTGACGACAGCAAGTTTCATTTCAGAAGAACAAGCTCCGCATCTAATTTTCTTCTGCTTAAGATTTTTAACCATGACCAGTGTCTTTTTAGGCAGTTGCAGTAACTCGAAGCAACTATGACAAGTGATGAAAGGAGAAGCACCAGCTATAGGAAGGCATTGCCGAGTACTATTCAAAGGCACTACTTTTCGAGTATGGCTTCCAACAAACCTACCCATCTCAGAATTGTAATCTCTAGGCCATCTTGTACGAGGTTGTCTTTCATGTAAACCAGTGGGAGGAATGGCAGCTCTAGAATTCTGAACATAAGGACAATTAAATAAATATGTTTTTAGTTTTATAACTTTTATTAAAAATTAAAATTAGTTCTTTAAAACTTATTCTCCATCTTTAGAATGGCATAGATTTAATTTTTTTAAGTAAATTTTGTTTAGTTTATTTAATATTTCAAATACGTCAATTAATATTGGAGTAAAAATATATGTCAAACAATTTAAACAACTCAAATATTATCATTAAATAAATATTAATTTACATATTTTAAAAACTAAAAGACTAAATTAAACGGAGAAGAACTAATTTTAATTTTCACTAAAAAATATTAAGAGATAAAAATTATATTTGACTCTTTTTTAAATATGAATTTATGTTAACTTTCAATTTTATAAAATTAACTTTATTGATAATAATTATATCTACTTACATATTATGATATTATATATATAATATGATGTTATTTTTGATTGATATTACATTTTGGATATATATTTGAAATTGATCCAATACTAACAATAGGATGATAATTTATAAATCCACTAACATTTACCATGCATGTGCATTTTAGTTTCCAAAAGGGTAGGTGGCTTATGAGTAAGGAGAAGGAGGGTGAGGGTAGCATAGTCATGATTCATGAAATACACCAAAGGAATATATAATAATAATATTCCTCAATCATTTATTAGACAAATGAGAACTATAACAATTTTTCACTCTGCACCACCCAACTCCTGTCCCTGCTGCCTACCAACTCATTTCTTTTCCTATCTTCATATATCAAACTAGTAAAATTAAGTTTTAATTAAATTTAAAAATAAACTAATTTAATAAAATTATTTATATAATATAATTTCATCTGTTATTCACTTTAATCTCTACATTTGTTTAATCTTAATATTTGTTAAGTAAAATCAAATAAACTAAATTAATGTTATTTACTAAACATATTATAATTTAATCAAATAAAAAATAGAAAATAAATTAAATTATAAATATTAAATTACTAACCGACGGATTTTTTTTATTTTGTTAATTCACTCTAGATATTGTTAAGGTTCTGTTCAAATTAAAATGCGTTAAATTTTCAAAAAACGTGTTATTAATTACGATGTGATGAGGTTATAAAATTAATAGTCAATTTTTAATACAAACTTTTTCACTCTACAAAATAAAAAGAATTTAAAAATGGAACAATAGGTTGTAGGTTAGAGGACCAAAAGCATAAAGCGTCTGGATGAATAATAATTAACGGATTTGAAGGAAAAAAGAAATCCACATACATAATTTCAGTGTCGTGATGAAGATGAAAATGACTAGCTCTTTTTGTTGTTCAATTTGGAACTTATGTTACGTAGATTAAGTTAAATTTATGTATAAATCATCCCAGTTTAGCTTCTTTTGATATCAACAACACAGTAAACAAATTTAGTAGTGAAATCTAGATATATAACCTTAAAAGGTTTCTTGAATGAGAACATAGTATCTCAAGGCCCCATGGGAATAATATTATAAATGGCTTGGACATGATTAGTGTAACGTTTGGTTTTATTTTCATGCTCCAAAAGTTTTTCTCAGAAAATGTCGTTCGTGATAGAATCTAGAGATGTGAATTTGTGCTGCCTGTTATTGCGGCTTATTAAAACACACCTGCTACTTCGTCAAAACAAAAGTACAAGTACTATGCTTTGTGAAAAAAAATGTTTGACTACATTCCAATTTATCAATAAATATATTACATTGTTTTCCACATCAGATTCTGGACCACAAACAAGACTGCGAGCACACAATTGTTTATGCTCTTTGTTTTGGTAAACCATACAAGAATGACAAAATTTCAGTACAAGAATAACAAATTTACATCTCATAAAATTCTAGTAAAAATATCATGAAAAGATTTCAAAATTTTCCCGTGATCTGATCTGACCCGAAACGATGTTTCCGAATCTGTTGAAGGGTGGAACAAAGACGTTCTCATGCAGAAGTTTTATTTCTACACTTGTGTTATGCAGCTGTTCTTGGTACTTTCATGCCAAATCCACGCCTTTCTTTCTCCACTCTGTCAAGTTGTCAAGACCAGAGGATTAGCAACTATCCTAACTGCTGCTTCTTAAAGATTTAGATTAATAAATCATGCAATGTGTAGAATAAAAATTATGTAAGAAATGCAAGGACCATATTTAATGGAGGCGTAGAAGTAACAACTGAAACAAGTCAATCATAGGCGTAAGACAAATTTAAGGAAAGAGAAAAGCATATATATTTTTCTTTCTTAACCTCACAGAAAACATCTGTTGAATCATCAAATGGGGTCCTGAATTGGAATAAAAACACAACTTTCCAGCACTCCAATGAGCTTATGAGCCAACTGCATAAGAGACTATGACTCAACCTCTCACTCAATTTATATCAGATACTTGACACCAACTCCTATCCAAAACTTTAAAATAATGAGTCTATAAATCTTCTTTTTTATACTGGTCTACATTTTATTTGTAATTAATGTGCGACTTAAATTCACACTTATATTCTTAACAAAAATATCTAAGAGACAAACTGCATGAGAAGAAATTCCTCCTTATCTATAGGTTCAGCTTGACATGACTAATCAATATGCTGACTGCTAGGAGAAAACAAACATGGATTCTTAACAATAGGAAACCAGCATTTTATGAATAGAAACACAGAAGGACATTACAACAGAAGAGCTAGTCTATAATTAGATAAATGGAACAAAATCATCAGAGACTTGGCACTTACGTTGGTGCAAGTTTACCAAGGCTGTCCAACTCTTCCCCTGTGTTTTCATCTCGTACCCTCCCAGAAATGTCAACGATGTAAGACCTATTGTCATCGCGGGGGAGTCCTCTCCGACAAAGCAATTCTAAATCTTTATGGTGAAGTTCTCTACCATTTACAAAAACACCAGTATTTCCACCAGCACATTTTTCTGGCATGGGATGCTGGAACTCTTCTATGAATGGCTGCAAGAGAAAATAACATATTCATTTATATTGATCAGAGTACAAGTATACGAGAAATGGAGTGTACCAGAATAGTGTAACTTACCAGAATTATTCCAAGACATGGTCCCCCCATGACACCCCAAAATCCAGCCTGAGAATCATACCTGCGGAAGAAAAAGTGCAAGCAGATCAATCACTACAATACATAAGCAATCGGCATAAACATTTACACTATCACTCTAAGCTGAGATAACTCTTCCCAAAATGATATGCAAAAAGGCATGTGAAACTATCAAAATATAATGTTACAGATTATAAGAACTTAACCGAGTCTATATGTATGCAAAGAACACTTTTCAAAAGCTTAACTGATTTTGATCCCTGTCTTTACAGTTTGTCTAAAGATTTAATTTTGATCCTTTATACATTTCTCTTCATTTGAGTTTCTGATACATGACATAATGTCAGCCTAACAAAGTTGTGAATGTAAAGCATACTAACCAGTAATTTCCTGGCTGGATTGGTCCAGCAAACTTTTCAGCCTTTTTAATCACTCGATCTGGTATTGGCTGTCCATTTATAGTAACATTACTTTTCCCATTATCTTTCTTAATAATGTTTGCTAAAAATGAATCACTCCTTTTGTTAGACCTAGGATGATCATGTTCTCTGCTTACATCACCAGAATCCTGGGAGACCCCAGTGTTAGAATAATCAATAACATCCATCTCAGTTGCAAGCACTACTTCTTTCAAAGAATTTTGCCTTGAGGCATTCTTTTCTACTTTTTCCAGCTCTTGATCTGAGCGACTACTTTGGTTGCCTTTCCCTAATCGATTAACCACATGGTCGTCAAATGAACTACCAGGTGAAGGAGATGGAGAGGCTTTAGATGGCTGATGAATGAACCCACCTGGGGCAGTCATAATTTCTGGAATATTTTCATCATCAGAAATACTGGGAGATGAAGAATGGAAACTTTGCCTCTCTCGCGACTTTAAGGTTGAGTCTTCAGCCAGCACAGAAGATTCTCTATCTACTGAGTGAAAATCATAACCAGAATAATCATCAGATGAGAAGTTCACAGCACTCGTGTTCACATCACCACGGGAATGGAATGCACGACTATTCACAACCTCACCAGTGGCATCATCAACCCTTGTGGGTCTGGTAGCTTCCTCCATCTCAGAATGAGGAGAAATCACTAGCTTCTTATTGACGACAGCAAGTTTCATTTCAGAAGAACAAGCTCCGCATCTAATTTTCTTCTGCTTAAGATTTTTAACCATGACCAGTGTCTTTTTAGGCAGTTGCAGTAACTCGAAGCAACTATGACAAGTGATGAAAGGAGAAGCACCAGCTATAGGAAGGCATTGCCGAGTACTATTCAAAGGCACTACTTTTCGAGTATGGCTTCCAACAAACCTACCCATCTCAGAATTGTAATCTCTAGGCCATCTTGTACGAGGTTGTCTTTCATGTAAACCAGTGGGAGGAATGGCAGCTCTAGAATTCTGAACATAAGGACCAACTGCTCCTGGGATCTCATGACCGTACAACATAGGATCATTTGAGGCAGGGGTGTGAGGGAATCTGCTGTTAACAAATTCAGCAGGTGGCACAGGCACTGATTCTCTTCTTTTGTTGTTATAGCAACGCAAACAAGAGCAAGAAGGTGGGTGAAGCATGGCACTACGAGTATATGGATCATATGAATCTGGACCAGTATCAGCATAGCGTCCAGGAAAGTAGGGATGAATTGGATTTTGTGGGAACTTGTGGGGTAAAGGATGTGAATCTCTCATCATTGGGGATACAAAAGGATCCCCATATCCAGGAGCATAATTTGGATTATGCATGGAAGGGTGAAAGTTGCGCTTAGCCATTTCAGGACCTGCTGCATAAGGATATGGGTCATGATGATAATTGAAATAAGGGGGACCTGGCAAATGTTTATTAGGGCCAAAGAATGGTCTTGAGGTTCTGCTCATAGCTGATGATGATCCATATCCTTCAGGAAACCAAGTTTCAGGGCCACTAAAAGGATCTGGAGGAACCATTCTTCCAT